TTAGTTCATATTTTCCAACTTCCAATACCACTTCAACACAAATTTCCGCTGCTCAAATGTAAGTCTGGGATTTTGCATTATTACAACCAACTTGCAACTGAAAAAGAGAAAAGGTTACTGAGTTATGGGTTGATGAAGTGTGTATACATTTTTTTTGGACACCCTGTATTTATTTTTTTTTAGGCTGGAGGCCCGACACATATGTTGTTGAACTCTATATGGATATGTTTTAAGGGACTTACCCCTCTTTTAAGAGCGAGGCAGGAATCCTCCTGAGGTTCGCTGGTGTAGCGGTAGTCGAATTTGGTGTACCACCACATGAAGGAAGCAAGGGCTGGGAAGAAGGATAGCTTGGTGCCATCCGACCCAGCCTCGATCACCAACACCCTCACGTTATGGTTCCCCGTCAACCGGTTTGCTATCACGCTCCCGGTCGTCCCTCCTCCGACTTCACGAAGTGAAAGAACGGGTAATGCTCCGCATGAGTGAGACGTAAAAACCTGCACGCACAAATTTAGATTCTGTGGCTAATTATATTCTCCTCTCTCTAGCAATCTCACTGAAAATCCGAACTGCAAAAAAAGTGAATCCGCTTTCCTTTTAACGATTTGCTCGCCTTAATTTCCCATGACTTGCCGATGGGATTCCAGATCGAACTGTTTCGATTAACTCTACTTGACTCAGTTTAATAGCGGTTTCAGTTTTAAGGAACTGCATAAAAATTTAGTTGAGAATATAATTTCTTACTGCCAAACTGGACTCCATTTTATTTGGATGGAAGTAATAAGAATAATTATTTGAAAGTGAATCAGAACTGGACAATTTGAAACCACTTGCTTGACCAATGCTCATTCGGGTTTCTTTTGCTTACCGATGATGAAGTCGTATGAGTCGTCGACTCTCAAGTTGTCGTTTGAGAATCCGACTGGGTTGTCCAGATCCTCGAAGAAGAATCTCCTGGATAATAAGAAGCCCATGGCCCAGACCACCTTCGATACTACTCTCAAGCTGATTCCGTAATTCTCCATCCTGCGACATTGCGAAAGCGAATCTGCAAATTTCCTCATTGAACAGCCAAGAAGACTCCCCCATCCTTAATGCTGGATGCTTAGCAGTTCGCCAATGGTGGATTCCAAGTGGTAGATGGTCGATTGGAATTAATTGCGCTTAATGTATCCCTCAGCTCGTTATTTTTGGCTATGACGCACATACAATGGGAGGGAAAAAATAAGTCACCACCCGCCAAATCATGCCCTAAAAACACGTAGCTATTTTAAAGGGGCCATTTTGACTTATGAGGGCCAATTGCACTTATCGTGCTGAGAAGTTGGAGGATCGCTAGCAGGGAGAGGGGTTTCAGCAGTCTATTTGCAAATGTAAAGCGGGCAATATACTATCCTTGCCCGCTAAATACACGCCAGCTCCGCCAATATCAGCGCATTTCCTCGGAATATGCGTTAGGAAGGCAAAGGAATAAAAAAAAAAGAAGCCAGATATGCAGGCGTGAATGCGGACATTCCTGGAAAAATGCCGAAACAAGCGTTTCGAAACGATACCGTTCGCATTCGCCCCGTTTAGTATCGGCGTCGATCTGGGTTCAATGCCCCGACGTCGCTGGAGGGAATCCGCATTAGCATGGGAATCCGCATTAGCATGAGAAGAAGCCGTTCCGCCGTCCGTAAAGGGAAATTTCTTGGAAACTCGCCACGCCAATAATCCGTGTTCATTTTCTAATATTCCAAGCTAAAGGAAAAATGAAATGATTAACCAAGTGAATTTTTTTTTCTCCAAAATGCGATATTAAGCTTAACTTCCGCACGTGCGAATATCATGTCTAAAGTACTGCGTGGTCAAAAATTGCAACTCTAATTATAATTTTTTTTAATATCGGTCGTTTTCCGAATCAACAAGAATAACTTGGAAGTACCATTGCCAGGAAGAAAAGTCGAAGTGGAGCTGCGTGTGTCTGCGTATGAGATGCAGGCTTGGATTATCCAATAATCCGTCCGACACTCATGAAGCAAGAATTTAACGGATTAACCCTTAGCAGAATAATTAAGAAATGTATTTCGCCTGACCGCTCGACCAGGATGATAGGATTATCAGGATAATCCTATAATCGATACTCCTATAACCGGCCTCACCTGGGACCCGGAGCCGAAGGGCGAGCAGCTGCACCGACGGGTTACGTCTGAGGCATTGGCCGGAGAGGGTCTGTGAAGACTCCGATGGACTCTCGCGGTCAGGGTCGAGATAACGGTCAAGGTCGACGGAACTTGGCTTTTGGGGCTGCCGCGGGCACGATTTTCTGCGTTCCTTTTTTTTTTAAATATTTATTTTGTTTTACGTGCAACTGCGCGGCGTCGAACTGCGGAATGGGGCGTGAGCTCTGATTCATTATATCTCTTCATTTCGATTTTGTTCGATTTTCGACCTGCGACTTCGCAGCAATCGAGGAAGATTCTTCGCGACGAATTTCGGTTTCATCTGCGGACCTTCCTCAAAATCATCATGAGAAAGGAAACAGGAATATATAATATATATTATTAGTTTTCGTAAAATTAACGTTAACTTCATTAGCGGCCCCCCACAGTAGCCTTCGCTCCTCCCAGTTGTCTGGGGGGGGGGGGGGGGAGGGGGGGGGAGGGGGGGGGAGGGGGGGGGGGGGGGAGGTTGTGGGGGGGGGGGGGGGGGGTGGGGGGGGGTGGGGGGGGGGAGGGGGGGGGGGGATTCAACTGCCTTTCAGATTGCGGCGTCGAGCAGTGCGAAAACATGTGACGGTATCAATATTAATTGACAATCAATATCAATATTTATGATTTAATGGGAATCTCCCATTCCATTCCTGTCAAAAGAAACAACAGGTATGAAATGTTCTCGGGGAATCTGCCATCGGAAAGTAACGACTCCTACGATGCCGTTGTTCGTTTTGCATCAGATGGATGCTGAGACAATGGGGATGAGGAGGAAGGGTCAGGTGGAACTGGAATGAATGGGGCAACGGTATTTTTTCGTAATGCATTACCGTGAGGGTCAGGGAGAGGATGAACAGCCGGAAACCGGTCGGCTCTGGGCCGGATGAAGGTCAGAGTCTCTCGAATGAAAGCGAAAGTGAACACCAGTCCATTACAGGGGGGGGGCTGCTTTTCGAGTTTTCAACTCGTTTTCGGGTTCCAGGGCTCTCGGCCGACTCGAAATAAGAAACTTGTTTCATGTCGAACCTCATACCGAATTATTGTAAAATTAATTGTAAAATTTTAATTGCGCTTTTCCTTCCTTGTGAAGAATGCATCCAAATGCATCCAAAAAATATGGCCACTTTTATTTCATTCTTTTCTTACTATTTATTCTTTTACATTTTTTTTTAGAAGTTCATTCGTCCAGGCTTGAATGCGCAGACTAACATTAGCACACTATCATCGGCAAAATTACTAACTGTGCTCCATGCCCCCACTCAGTCCTGTATAAATTTAATTTGCTTTGATTGGTTTGGTTCTCTCAGCCAGGCGCCAATTTGTTTATTAAGAATTTTTGCAACTTGGTGCTGAAAAGCTCGATACAAGAGTATTAATATATATGGAAACGAGGGGTGGCAAGCCTGCGGCTGGAAGGTGGCGTCCGCTGGTGAAATATGTGCTTTTCAACTAAATACCTCTCAAAATATTAGAGGCAGAAATTCCGGTCTATTCCGGTCAAGGATGAGGGAGGCTGGTCATCTGAATGAAACAATACGGTAGAGAGAAAGAATTTTCTGAGGAAACCACAGGAATAAGGATTCAAGTGGGTTTCAGGCTGAATATTTTTTTAACCGTGTTTTAACCAGGGGTTAAGTTCATGCGAAATGAAAATTAAATAAATGATTGTACGAAGCTTAGGAGTGGGACTCGGGAGGAGGCGGCAGGCAGGATGGCTTTTGGCTAAAATGAGAAATTCTATTTACCATTTCTTGACTTATGGGATCATGAAATGGGCCTGGAGTCTGAAATTCCGGATTCAGCGGGAAATGAAATTCATGAAGATGAGGTTTTATGATTCCTGGGAGTAGACCTTTGTTATCCAAAGCAAATTATCTGCTGATTAATGATCATTCCTCTCTAATGAAATGAAAACAAAAATAAAAAGGAATGATCTGAAAATGTTCTCCTTCAATCGTTACTCGACTGAATTTTAAGCATCCAGTTGTGACTTGACTCTTCCTTGCCAAATCGCAACTGAAACGCGTGATCGTGCCCGATTCTCGATCATATTTTATCGTCATGAATTCGATTGAGCCAGTGTGTGAGCGTTTGTGTAAGGAAGATTTTTCTCTTGAGGGAGGATATCGGACACAGGCTTAACGACTTGAGAAGGAGTCACGACGAGAATCTTTTTATCCCCCAGATGTGCAGATTTCCAGCACCGCTTCAATGAAGTCAAATGTGGCCAATGCGTCAGAGGAGCCGCCGGGAAGTACCGCGGAATGTGTACGGGGTTCCGCACTTGGTCGCCCGTTAAAAATCACAAATTATGCGAGGACTTGATGAGGTCGGAGGCCTTCTCCCCGATCATGATGCATGCTGCCATGGTATTGCCGGAGACCATCTCAGGCATGATGGATGCATCCGCCACTCGCAGTCTCTTCACCCCATACACCCTGGACAAATAAGTTCACATTTTTTGTGATCCATCAAAGGCAATCGTAGAACGTACAAGTCCACCCTTACGAAAATGTCTTATAGGATTCCTACATATTCCTTTAGGAATATATAGGAATCCTATAGGTTCCCATAGGTCCCATACTGTAGAGTTTAGTTTGGGACCTATAGTGTCCCCTATAGAACCTAAAGAGCCCCCTATTGAACCAATATGGTTCCCCATAAGGCCTATAGGCTCCCCATAGCACCCGAAGGGTTCTGTATAGGACCCGATGGGTTCCCTATAGGGCCTATAGTGTTCCGTTTGAAGTTTTCCTCTAGGCCACTAGATGGAAGTATTGGGTTCTCGCATTTCTCAAAGGGCACAAAAGTGCCCTCCCCTTACCCGAGGAATCATCTCTCACAAGAGAATTCTGTACTTCCCCAAATGTCTCTCCTTGCCTCATTGTAGCAATCAATGAACTTCGACACTACCTTATTTGTCATCCCCATCTTCCAGATAGAATCATGGAGTCCAGGCAAGAAATATGCCCATATTCCTTTTGAAAACCACGTACGAGAATGAGAGATATTCTATCTAAATGTAGTGTTAGTAAAGAGACGCGCCCGAAGTTTCTGTCTTCTATTTCCTTAGGTCGGGAGAAGAATATTACTACTCTCTAGCGAAGGAAGTAGATGTGCAATCCAGCGACATATTTGGAGCGGGGCGATAAATTATACAGAACCGCGCAGTGCTGGAATTAATAATGCAAGTGTGAGAGATGATTCCTTGGGTAAGGGGAGGGCACTTTTGCGCCATTTGAGAAATGTGAGAACCCAATACTTCCATCTAGTGGCCTAGAGGAGAACTTCAAACCGAACCCTATAGGTCCTATAGGTCCTAGAGAGTTCCGTATAGGCACTATTGGGAACCCTATAGGCCCAATAGGGAACCCTATAGGTCCTAAGGAGAATCCAATAGGTCCTATAGCGAACCCTACAGGTCCTATAGGGAACCCTATAGGTCCTATAGGGAACCCTATAGGTTCTATAGGGGGATCTATTGGTTCTATAGGAAACTCCATAGGTTCTATGGGGGATCTATATATTCTATAGGGAACTCTATAGGTCCCAACCCGAACTCTATGGGGCATATAGGATTCCATAGGATTCCTTTAAGTTCTTGTAGGATTCCTATAGGAATTCCTATAGGAATTCCTATAGGAATCCTATATATTCCTAAAGGAATATATAGGAATTCCTATAGGAATCCTATTTATTCCTAAAGGAATATATAGGAATCCTATGAGACATTTTCGTAAGGGCATTTAAGGAATGCTCCTCCTCCTCTGTTTGAATTCGTGCCCTAGCAAAATTGAGAATGAGACAGGGTCGTAGGGAATGTATGAGACGCGGCCAAGAAGAGCCGGAATGCCTTTGCGCTCGGGATATGTAAGGGCTAACTCATCCTCCTTTCCATGCCTGCACCGAACAGGTTTTTTTTCATGGAAATAAATATAAGGCTATGAATTATTGATAGGCATGTTGAGTTTTGAACTCTAAATCGAACTGCATGTGAAGCCCAGCCGCGCCGAGCTTCCTCAAGGGTCGGAAACCAAATTTGGCTCATGAACCAAATTTGGTTCACGAGTCAAAAAAAATTTGGCTCATTAGTTTGGCTAAAAATCATGGTTGTTCATCGTTTTCCCAATGTATCAAAGAATGCATGTTTGGAAATTTTCAGGAAAATTTCTTTCGCTATGAAGATCTTTGGCTCACGAGCAATTGGCTCAATCATAATATGGCTCACATGGGCGAAAAGGTTCCCAACCCCTGCTCTATATAATCTTACTTGAGAGAGGGGTCGACGACCGCATCAGGATCGGTGGGAGGCCCCATTTTGCATGTACCAACATCGTGCCAATGCAGATATGTGAACTGCCTAATGTGGCACTCCCAGTACTCGTCCGTGAACTGTTCCAGATGCTTGCAACCGGGCAGGGGCTGACTGTAGAATTTGGCCCCAAGCTTCTTGAATGCGGGTTGCTCCCCCAATTGCAGCACCAGACGAATGGCTGAAAATTTCCAAGGACAGGCAAGTAAAAAAGGCGCATACCTCAGTGTTATTAAACATGAGTATATGATGCGAGATACCTTCAATTGTGATCTTGAGGTCATATGGGTCCTTGAAATAATTTCCAATAATAATCGGATGATCCTTAATGTTGGCGCTGCGCAACAATATCTTCCCTCGACTTTTTGGTCTAGAAGGATGGGGATAAACTCCAAAACCATATCGAAGCTTTAGTCCTCTATAGGACCTCCATGTCTAAAAAAAAAAGGAAAGGGATTCATATGGAGTTTCCTATGCCTGCCTTATGAACCATGCTTTCAAGCACCCCAATGATGAGCTCATACCTCGTCGCTCAGGCCGATCCTGGGGCTGTAGATGTACCCTCCGTCCGTTCCGATCGTGAGAGCAGAGAGGAGCATCTCGATATCCGGCCAGTCTGGATCGGAGGCGTAGGACGTATTCACGAAGGCGACGCCCTCGAAACCCGATGGTGAAGAGAACGGTCCTGTGACATTTGATTCAGGAAATTCCCTCTTGTAAACAGCTTTCCAGGCTCCTTAAATGCTATCATGCCGTTGCCTTGCCACAGCAAGGAAAAACACGTTTCGCTGAAAAGCTGTTGACTGCCTATCATTGATATCCAAGAGTCAGCGTGCACAAATGAATGGAGTTTCCGGTTGCAGAAGTTGCGCGGTGAATTAAAAGTCCTTCATAATTCCTGAAACTCACGATTCTTATGAGAGCCGCTTAATTGTTTTTGCAATCCTGGACCTTCACAGAAATCGGACGGAACGCTGAAGACTCTCACAAGCGGCTGGCTCGGTTAACAAGGAGGTTTCGTTACCGGCTGTCATTGGGATATGGTTCATTGACCTAAATCTGAACAATTCGTGACTTCAGCAATTGGCTGAAAAGTTCCATAAAATTTGTGCGCATTGCCAATCTATTGATTCTACTCATTACTGGCATCTGATTACGCTATTTTGCGCGTGGCCATACCTTGCCCTTCTTCGTTTGGGTGGTTGAACGGTTTTTCTGGCTGTTGCGACGGCAAGCCTTTAGAGTAATGTTTGAACGGTTGCAGATTCGAGTTTGGAAGACGCTTTCATTCCCATTCTTTGTTGCCTTTTCGGTCTGGAAGTCGAGGACTTCCTATTTCCCCATTGTTAACGAATTTGCGCAATGGTAAGAATGGAGCAATAAGTGGAAAATATAGATTCATGATTCGCTCTGCAAACATCAATTATTGACTAATGACTAATCCCAATGACTACTATGTAACTGACTCGTCTTTAACGCCTGTCACGGACTGCATGGACAACAGACTCACCCTCGCCGTTTTGGATGTAGTTGGTCAGGTGAGTGACGAGATCGACGGTGAGGACCTTAGGGGGGTAAAGGCCAGACTTCGTCTTGAAAGTGAAGTAGAGGCCACCAGGACCCACATGGCTTTGCAGGTTCTTTCCCACAGGAAGATTCACCAAAGGCTGGATCTGCACACAGACGGCATCCGATAGATTCACGAGGCACTAGAAGATATATCCATCATTTTCCATTCACTAAGGCCCCCTGAGAAAAGGCGCTGCAGTCTGTGCGACAAGAAACTGTCCAGCAACATTTACTGTGAAAGTTCAATGAGGCCAGTTATTTACGACGCCGCCAAATGATTTCCAGAAGAAAATAATAAACTCACCAAAGCATTAAAAATACGCATCGAATCCTATTCCTGGGAGACTTCAATGTCACTGATATTAATTGAGACGCGAATATTATACATCCGTTATGGGGAAGACATAGAAAGTCATGAAGTACCGTACGGCTAACAGCGGACCTTCTTTCACGCGGTTTTCTTAACAGAGCATGCATGCTGACTCGAAAGACGAGGCCGAGTTGGAGGTGCACGACATGCCTACCCCGTGCTTTTTGAGTTCCTTCTTGGGTCCGATGCCGGAGAGCATGAGGATCTGAGGAGAAGCGACAACCCCGGCGGACAGGATCACCTCCCTCGTGGCCGCTATGAAGTGCGTGGTGCCGTCGTCTGTTACGTATTCGATCCCTTTTGCAGTCCTTGTCGCCTCCTCGATTACTATCTGGGGAAATATTCATTAATGCGTGCTGCTTGGGTTGAAGTTCGACTAGGAATTGAATCATTTTCCTCTGCAGACGTAGAATGAAATCAACTTTAGTTGAAATGAAATATATCGAAATTACTTACTGATACCGTAAATCCTCAAATCGAGGAATCTCCCGATGAACTACCACTCACCTTGGAGACCGGGGCATTGAGGAGGACGTGGAGGTTCTTGCGGTGCTTCACCGGCGTCAGATACGCGCTGGCCGTGCTGTGTCGGATTCCCCGTTTTGTTGCCACTTGCACTCTGCTGAAACCTGTGCAGCGGTCGCCATTAGTACGTTGTCTCTTTTGTATCGGCCGATTCAAAAAGGCTAGCAATTGTTTTCTCGAGGAATGACAGTGATAGCACTCGAGCTTCATCGATATTCATTATGTCGCCATGAGATCTCAGAAACAAAAAAAACAGAGTCTATTTAAAATTTGAAGATGCGGCTAAAAAATCAGTTAGTTTTTCAAATGCGACAATTTCGGGATATGCAATAATTTCATTCTTGGAGCCCCCAAGGGGCAGGAGTTGAAGCACAAGGAGTTGAAGCACAAAGAATTGAAGCTCAAGGAATTAAAGCCTGCATATTAGGAATAGCTATAACTGCAAATGCCGTGATGAAGTTTCGAAATTCACTCAATTTCTGCGTTCCGACGTCGGTGAAAGGAAAGTGAATTTTATTGAAACAAATTAATAGTATTTGTTTTACTAAGTCACTTAGATCCCCAAAGATTCAGTGCTAAAAGAATGTCAGCTGAAAATTCGCTTAAGTGCAATTACTTCTTTTTGACAGGCAATTTTTAAGAATATGTTGGCCTTTGTATCCCAGCTTATTTTAGTTAGTTTTAATGAAGTGATTTAGCAGTAGTGAGCTTTTTAGAAAGTGCTGGGAAATTTGCGATATTATATCGTGGATCTCTGGGTAAATCACCTGGAAAAGATCCCATCGAGCTGTAATAATCTTAAGCGTAGAGTTCCTTGAACCTTCAAAGTTCTCGATTCTTTTCTCAGAAAATTATGGATAATATACTTTAGAGTTAATAAATAAAATATTTCCGCATTTGCCTTTGATTCTGTTCATTGACGAGACGTACCAATTTGAGATTCTCCGTTGTAGTCTTTATTATGGGGGAAGCCAAGGCTCTTCCCAGCCTCGATGAACGCGGGCAAGACGTCCGTGATGTACGAGTGGGAAATGGGGAAATAGCCTTCAGTCCCGTGATAAGAGGCATCTCCTACGCATATGAATTCCAAAAATCACTCGATCGAGCAAGAATATCCATCGACAAAATAACTCTATTCAGGTATTAGACATTTCATCCGACTCCGTTTGCTACCAGAACCTATGGCTGGCTTTGAAAGACCTCCAGTCACTGAACAGCGACTTTCATGAAAAGGAAGGAGGAGTGCATCCGTATCTAAGCGCACGCTTCTTGGACGCAGCTGCGACTTCCCAAAAGACCGATTGAACGAGAGCAGTAGCATTCAAATGTGTCGATCCACCCAGGGAGTCGCGATAGGCAGACAGCGGTGATGTGAGGGGATTTGAGCCTCCTGCTTTCCGCCTGAAGAAGGCGGTAAGAAGAAGGCGGCACGGTGGCTTTGCCCTTTGATTTAATGAAGGCGCAATTCCTGAATTGTACACCTCTGCTGCAGAACCACTTTCTAAATAGGACATTTCCTGAATTCCTATCAGAGAAGAGTGCCGTCAGCTGCATATTGCTGCAATAAAGACCCATTAAAATTTGCCACGTGTCTGCCTTCTTACGGGCATATTTCATAAAGAACGAGTTCGGGTCCCGTTTCCACATAGTAAATGACCTGCCATGAGTTCACTTAAAAAAGTGAACCGCATCAGGATATTTTTCGCAATTAGGAAACTGGAACAGGCGCAGTATTGAAGTGAAATGAAGAAATTAAGAGTCGGAATTCATATTTTTGATATGAATGTCTTGCCGAGCAACACTTTGCAGCAGACCTTTCATGAAATAATTTTGAGATTCTCATCCCATTTAGGACGATTCGCCGGTTCATGGGAGTGCTGAAGTACTACCAACAAGTCGCTTCTCAAGGAATGTACCATTGATGAGGAGAACTCGAGAACCGCCGAGTTACATGATGCGGCATGGAATTTTCATCATGGTAAATTCTACATGTGTGGAGTCCTCAACATTTAAATTATGCAAATAGAGCCCTTGCTTTGAAATACGATCGTTGGATACAGTTCCAAGAAATGTGCACTGCGGAATGGCAGAGTCGCGACACTTCACCCGAATCCATGCTGCCAAACTCTGAGCAACTACTTAATAACATAATCATTCGAAAATGGACCTCTCGCTTTCTTCAGTGTAACTTCATTCCGTTTGTCATCTCCTCAGGAAACGGAACAAAAATCGCCATATATACTACCGTGGGCGCTCGTCATATCGCGTAGCATCCAAATTTACTGCAATCATATTCCTATAAGGGTAATCTGTGGTTTTTGGACCCGTCGTACGAATAAGCGAACATAAAACCCAAACAATACAAATGAGTCTTCCTTACCCGGAGATATATCAGAGACTTGGAAGTTTTCGATCCTCTTGAACAAAGGGAGGAGGTCATCGAAGGACCATCCGGAATTCCCCATGTGCCGGGTAGACAGTATCAGGAACGCTACTGGGGCGCGCATCTAGGGAGGCAAGTTCCGCCTTGAAGGAGGGTCGTAGGCTGGGGACTTGGTGGCTGTAGAGATTACCGAGTCTCTTTTTTCGGCGAATATGTTGATGAGGAATGACCTCATACCCTGACCCTCATATTCAACGGCACATTACGCCGCCAACGCTTAACCCTTTACGGATCAGTGATCCCCATGCTAGCCACATTTATTCAGGCCCACCATCAAATGGACTCAAACTTGGGTTGATCTTGGGATTGTGGTTTATAGTTTGGCCATACTTTTTTAGAACATGAATGAGCTTCAAAATTAATGTGGGCATCATCTAGGACCTAAAGCCCTCGATCGTTAATATGTATGATAATGAAGCCTTGCTTATGGGAGAGTTTGCAATACGACAACGTTTGGGGAGGGAAGTGTTTGGTTTCGTGCACAATTTCTTTCAGTCTGAAATGATAACTTTCCGTCCATTGGATTGCATCTAAAATTTAAAAAACTTACATTTTAAACATATCCTATGAATCTCAGTAACGTGAGGACCGTGTCGAGCAAAATAACAATATTTCCAGAGAGCCGGATTTAAATAATTAAAATACTTTTTCGTAGAAACCTCATGCACAAACAATGCCGGTGAAAATTTCCGAGTAAAAAAAATCGCGCAATAAGAGGAAAGGAGTTCGCGTCGGTAGGTTCCTTTTGAGACAGATCGGTGTCAATTCCAACTGATTTCACGATGAACACATCCAGGTCAATTTTGAAGCAGCAGTATTTCTCCAAGTGTTGACGTCATTCAAACACAGACATAGAGGGGAAAAGAAGCCTCTTGCTTTCAGGGCAAAAGAAATGTAAAAGGAGATATCGCGAGCGACAGGACTCACCCCTCCCTCAAGAGCGAGGCAGGAATCCTCCTGAGGTTCGCTGGTGTAGCCGTAGTCGAACTTGGTGAACCACCACATGAAAGAGGCGAAGGCAGGGATGAAGGAGATCCTGGATCCATCCGACCCAGCCTCGATTAGTAGCACCTTCACCGTCGGGTTCTCGGTTAACCGACTCGCTATCACGCTCCCGGTCGTCCCTCCTCCCACTTTAGAAAGCACAGGCGATGTTGATGCGTGCCTTCATCACGCTAACGTACGCATCATACGCCTAACGTTTTCTCGCGGTGAAACTATGTTGCCTAAAGTTGTCCAGCAGAATGGGTTCCGATTCAAAGTCCTGAAGCGCAGTTACTTGCTATGAGTCAATCTACGGAGACGACTCCCTTGCTGTTTGATGCAAGCTCTTTGGTGAGAGCATTTTGGCAGTTACGGAACACCGTAGTTGACAGTTTTTCATCAGTTGACCCACACTCAAGGATTTCCACCGTGACAGTGGTCAAAGCAGGGGAAAGGTGATAAAACGTTAAATCCCGATCAGTATGAGCTTACATGGCCCAAGTGTCAATTCGGTCCACAAAGATCGACGAAGTATTCCTACTAATCGCCAGTCAGTTCAAGATTTCGTCTTTCGGGCGAACATTTTCGTCATTCGTGAAATTTTTATCATAATCTCGTCGTTCATTTTTGTCCTTTTTCGGCTCTTCGTCACGCAATTTAGTTTTCATGCCGACATCGTTACAGAAACCCATCACCGTCATCATCATCGTCGACAAAAATTGAAGAAATATTCTCGTTGGCAACAAATTCCATGGGAGTTGGTGCGTAAACTCCTTACGCGCTGAGAAAAAGGGAAGCACTAATTGAAAATCCCCTCAATTTCCCTCGTTAGTAACAAAAAAATTTCCCTCAGTTAAATTTTCCCTCATTTTCCCTCTCTTCTTCTTCCAAACTAATTTAAATCAATTATTTTCATCAATTTTGAAAACCGCATTCATCCCACTCACCGATGATGAAGTCGTACGACTCGCCCACCCGCAACTTGTAATTGGAGAACCCGACCGGGTTGTCCAGCTCGTTGCCGAGGAACAATTTGCTGGAGAGGATGACGCCGACGGCCCAGACCACGTTCCCGATCAGGCGCATGCTGCTCCCGTATTGGTCCATCCTGCAATATTGCCATATTGCATGCCAATTGACATCGAACACTGCACTCGCCTCCCTCCAAAAAAAAAATTTCAGAATTAAAAATTAAAATTCAAAATTCAAACGGAAAGACAACTTTTTTTCCCGCTTTCTCGTAATTCATGCAATCGGGCGTGAATGCGAGCTGCGAGGGAAACTGCGTGCAACTCTTCATTTCAAAAAATGCAACAGTTCAAATGCGATCATATGCAAATATGCAATAAAGGAGGCGAATGGCATCTATTGATAACGATTGACGAGGATGAAAGCGAAATCGTCGCTGAGCTCACTACGCTTCGCGATCGCGATTCACGGCGGAGCACGGAAGCGACTTTCTCACAACTTTCGTTTCCAGCTATNCGGCCCATCTGTCATAGTCCTTGCGATGACCCCGCGCGTAGATCCCTCCGTTCAAGGCGGAACTTCCTCCCAGCATCCGACCCCTGAACCACCGACATCTCTAATGGCTCAGAGAAAAAAGCCGCTTCATATTGCTGAGGAATGACCTCGTACCCTGACCCTCATATTCAACGGCACATTACGCCGCCAACGCTTAACCCTTTACGGATCAGTGATCTCCATGCTAACCACATTTTTTCAGGCCCACCATCAAATGGACTCAAACTTGGGTTGATCTTGGGATTGTGGTTTGTGGTTTGGCCATACTTTTTTAGAACATGAATGAGCTTCAAAATTAATGTGGGCATCATCTAGGGCCTAAAGCTCTCAATCGTTAATATGTATGATAATGAAGCCTTGCTTATGGGAGAGTTTGCAATACGACAACGTTGGGGGGGGGAAGTGTTTGGTTTCGTGCACAATTTCTTTCAATCTGAAATGATAACTTCCAGTCCATTGGATTGCATCTAAAATTTAAAAAACTTACATTATAAACATATCCTATGAATCTCAGTAACGTGAGGACCGTCTCGAGCAAAAAAAAAAAAAAATTTCCAGAGAGCCCTATTGAAATAATTAAAATACTTTTTCGTAGAAACCTCATACACAAACAATGCCGGTGAAAATTTCCGAGTGAAAAAAATCGCGCAATAAGCGGAAAAGAGTTCGTGTCGGTAGGTTCCTTTTGAGACAGATCGGTGTCAATTCCTCCTGATTTCATGATGAACACATCCAGGTCAATTTTGAAGCAGCAGTATTTCTCCAAGTGTTGACGTCATTCAAACACAGACATAGAGGGGAAAATAAGCCTCTTGCTTTTAGAGCAAAAGACACGTTACATTGTACATGGAGATATCGCGAGTGACAGGACTCACCCTTCCCTCAAGAGCGAGGCAGGAATCCTCCTGAGGTTCGCTGGTGTAGCCGTAGTCGAACTTGGTGAACCACCACATGAAAGAGGCGAAGGCAGGGATGAAGGAGATCCTGGATCCATCCGACCCAGCCTCGATTAGTAGCACCTTCACCGTCGGGTTCTCGGTTAACCGACTCGCTATCACGCTCCCGGTCGTCCCTCCTCCCACTTTAGAAAGCACAGGCGATGTTGATGCGTGCCTTCATCACGCTAATGTACTCATCATACGCCTAACGTTTTCTCGTGGTGAAACTATGTTGCCTAAAGTTGTCCAGCAGAATGGGTTCCGTTTCAAAGTCCTGAAGCGCAGTTACTTGCTATGAGTCAATCTACGGAGACGACTCCCTTGCTGTTTGATGCAAGCTCTTTGGTGAGAGCATTTTGGCAGTTACGGAACACCGTAGTTGACCGTTTTTCATCAGTTGACCCACACTCAAGGATTTCCACCGTGACAGTGGTCAAAGCAGGGGAAAGGTGATAAAACGTTAAATCCCGATCAGTATGAGCTTACATGGCCCAAGTGTCAATTCGGTCCACAAAGATCGACGAAGTATTCCTACTAATCGCCAGTCAGTTCAAGATTTCGTCTTTCGGGCGAACATTTTCGTCATTCGTGAAATTTTTATCATAATCCCGTCGTTCATTTTTGTCCTTTTTCGGCTCTTCGTCACGCAATTTAGTTTTCATGCCGACATCGTTACAGAAACCCATCACCGTCATCATCATCGTCGACAAAAATTGAAGAAATATTCTCGTTGGCAACAAATTCCATGGGAGTTGGTGCGTAAACTCCTTACGCGCTGAGAAAAAGGGAAGCACTAATTGAAAATCCCCTCAATTTCCCTCGTTAGTAACAAAAAAATTTCCCTCAGTTAAATTTTCCCTCATTTTCCCTCTCTTCTTCTTCCAAACTAATTTAAATCAATTATTTTCATCAATTTTGAAAACCGCATTCATCCCACTCACCGATGATGAAGTCGTACGACTCGCCCACCCGCAACTTGTAATTGGAGAACCCGACCGGGTTGTCCAGCTCGTTGCCGAGGAACAATTTGCTGGAGAGGATGACGCCGACGGCCCAGACCACGTTCCCGATCAGGCGCATGCTGCTCCCGTATTGGTCCATCCTGCAATATTGCCATATTGCATGCCAATTGACATCGAACACTGCACTCGCCTCCCTCCAAAAAAAAAATTTCAGAATTAAAAATTAAAATTCAAAATTCAAACGGAAAGACAACTTTTTTTCCCGCTTTCTCGTAATTCATGCAATCGGGCGTGAATGCGAGCTGCGAGGGAAACTGCGTGCAACTCTTCATTTCAAAAAATGCAACAGTTCAAATGCGATCATATGCAAATATGCAATAAAGGAGGCGAATGGCATCTATTGATAACGATTGACGAGGATGAAAGCGAAATCGTCGCTGAGCTCACTACGCTTCGCGATCGCGATTCACGGCGGAGCACGGAAGCGACTTTCTCACAACTTTCGTTTCCAGCTATTTCGCCTGGAGCTAAACCGGGGCTTAACCCGACGGACTGCTCATGCGATCGAGCCGGTCATATCCTCAGAACTGCGGCCGGAATGACGCACGACGCGAAACGCCGACGCACGACGCGAAACGCCGATGCACGACGCGAAACGCCGTTGCACGACGCGAAACGCCGATGCACGACGCGAAACGCTGAAAGAGAATGGCTGAACTCGCCTGAAACGTGTCGGAGGCTCGGAGGACGAAGTCGCACTGACAAGCTTGCCACGTATCACGCCCCGTCACGCTGAGCCCTGTCACGTCGCCTCACGTCTCGTGAGGCAGATTTAAAAACGAAAACGAGGAACTCAGTGGATTCGGTTGCACTGTTGCGCAATCGTCGATGAACTGCCAAGGTCGAGGGGTGGGGGGGTGCGGCTCGGTGAGGATTGAACAACTGCGATGAGGATTGAATGAGGATTGATCGCATCAATGGATGGCCTCATCCCTTTCCTCATCCGGGGTTGGACGACCGGTTTTAAAAAATTTTTTTATATCATTGCCGCTTCCGGAAGTCGCTTTCGCCTGGTTTCGGCCGATTCCCACGTTGAAGGCGGTTCTCCTTTCACAACGGGGTGGGATCGCATTGTGAAAAATTCCTAAGAACCTGCCTGACCGTTCTAGAAGGAACATTTTTTCGGTTTTTTTTTTTTTTCTACATTCCCTTTCCAGCCTGTTCTGGTTGTGCAAACATCGCTGAAATATTGCGGCGTGTCGTTTGTTGGCCGTAATTGGCTCGCGGTAATCAATGGGCGACATACAGGTTATTTTCATCATAACGAAATCTGTAACGAGAACAGATTTTTATCGTGAATTTCAAGATAAAAAATTTTTTTTTGCATTCCGCACTCGATCGAGAGGGAATTGGAGCCTCCAGCATTAATCGCAATCGTATGAATTCCAAGAAAATTGACTTGAAAAATTTATCTTTGCTGCGTTCCTCTTAGTTCCGAAGCTCCGAGTTTCCTCGCATCGGGAAGCCAATAAACCCAAGGCCGAACGAATTCAGCAGTCGAAATTCCGCAATAACAAACCGAAACCGAAACCGAAACCGAAACCGAATGCGGCAATGCTCCGATGCCCCTCGTCTTCATTTCCGTCGCACCAGCCGTTTTTCACCATTTCGCCTTTATTTTCCCTCTGACAATCGCGGTTTTCATTTGCAAGGACTTTTAAGTTGGCTTTCATTCCCGTGGGATTCTGAGCGGATATTTCGCCTGGAACATCGACCGGTACTGATGGAAATCAAATCTTTCGATCTGCAGAGGGCGATGTATGTCACACGACCTAGGTGCGCTGCAGTTTGTCATATATATGTCACGTAATTCCGATTGATGTCTCACGTATTCCATACCAAATCAATTCAATAATTTATATTTCATGAGTGCACATAATGCGTCATAACTGCCTCTGTTCACTTACATCACGCAGTCACTTCATCACTTTTTCTTGAATCATATGAGAGCAATAAACCCAACCCAACAGGGAAAGGAAATATCTGGAATACATAACGGTACTAAATTTCGTTGAACGAAGCGAAGAAACGAAGCGAAGAAACGAAGCGAAAGATACGAAGCGAAGAAACGAAGCGGAAGAACCGAAGCGAAGAAACGAAGCGGAAGAACCGAAGCGAAGAAACGAAGCGAAGAAACGAAGCGAAGAAACGAAGCGAAGAACCGAAGCGAAGAAACGAATCCATGCGGTGAAAGGAGGACCACCCATGGGCTCGGAAAGCCCAGCGAGCTGCAACCTGTATCTCCAGCTCGAGCGAGAGCTTTCCCTTCAGGTGACTTTGGTTTACGAGAACGAGAAAAATCAAGCGAACGTGGAAAATCCGAGCGAACGAGGAAAATCCACGCCGGATATGCGATTATTAATGGAAGAACCCGAGAAATATCTCAAGGAATGGCCAAAATTTCATTCAGGGGAATTCCGGCAAAGGTATGAGTGTAACAGATTCCGGGTATATTGAGATCGAAATCTATTTGATGGGCGTGTTTAAATAAACAAATATGAATGTGTCAGTATACGAGGGAAGGTTCGTTTTAAGAGGGACAGACACTGCACGAGGGCAGATGCCGAAAAAGGATGGGCATAACGAAAAGCCGTAATGGTTCATTCAGTACTCTTGATGTCTGTGACGGCAGTGCATAGTTGGGCCAATCGCGGTACGTTATAGCAGAACTGAGTCAAACTAGTGTTAAATTCCTATCAAGGATAAGTTTCATGACTATCACGGCATTCCCGCATGTTCACACATACCTCAGTGGAAACCATTCAGATAAATGTATATATACGGAAGACAAGTAGGGCGCTGCACGTGGTCAGGTTTGTTTACGCTTCCTGAGTGCCAGCCAATCGCATTCCACGAGGGGCGGAGCCGACCACGGGAGCGTGCGGTCATGAAATAAGCGGCGTGAGGGAAGCTCGCAAGGAGGAATAGGGAGGACATGGGAGTGAGAGAGGGGAAGCACACGCTGGTCGGAGTGTGGAAGTGCGTGCGCTGACAGGCGCGGAAGGGACCTCTTCCTCCATTCTTTTCCGTCTCTCCGCGGTTGTTTCCACTGCATCGCGCCTTGTTCTTGCTTCTACGTGGTTTCCCATGCTGTCAAGTGGCTAGTCACCGTCTCCCGTCTCGAGCCAAACTAGAAAAACTTGTTAACCTATCGGTTTTTCTTCAAGCAAAGGGGAAAGACGCTGTTCTCTCTTGAACTCGTTTGTAACGATTTTTTCGCCATGCAGGGAATGTAAAAAAATTATTTTTTATTCGATCATTCAGCCGGGGATGCAAAATCGTTCCGCTTTCGAAGAGTTTTGACGCATGTAAATTCATTATTATTTGGCTTTATTTCGGTTCTATTCTTGGAGAGAGTCACAAATTATGAGAGGACTTGATTAGATCCGAGGCCTTTTCCCCGATGACGATGCATGCTGCCATCGTGTGCCCCGAGGTGATGACTGGCATGATGGATGCATCCGCCACCCTCAGGTTCTTCACTCCATACACCCTGCCCGGTCAAAGGAAAAAAAGTTGTAAATACCCTGTTCATCATTAGGATTCGCAAGTCTTGGGTCTTTCGGCAGGTTTCGTCCGATACCTCAGGGATGGGTCGACGACAGCCTCGGGATCGGTGGGAGGCCCCATCTTGCACGTGCCAACGTCGTGCCAGTGGAGGTACGTGAACTGTCGAATGTGACATTCCCAGTATTCGTCCGTGAACTGTTTCAGATGCCTGCAACCTGGCAGCGGCTGACTGTGGAATTCGGCACCGATCTTCTTGAATGCGGGTTGCTCTCCCACTCGCAGCAGCAGACGAATGGCTGAAAATCGCCAGCAGTAAAACTTTTCGCTTGCTAATAATTTATGGCGTCAGGAAATTCACGTTTTATGCGGCTGTACCCTCGATTGTGCTCTTGAGATCTTCTGGGTGCTTGAAATAATTCCCTATGATGACTGGATGGTCAGTTATATCGGTACTGCGTAGCAAAATCTTCCCCCGGCTTTTGGGCCGCAAAACAAACGGATAAATTCCGAACCCGGGTCGACGCAGAAGTTTCTCATACGTTTTCCACGCCTTCGAGGAAAGCCAAAAAATATGTAAATATAAATACATTTTAAATATATTTATATTTTTAAAGTAAATTTTAAATTGTGACATTTTGCAAAATGACAAACCTCGTCACCCAGCCCGATAATCGGTCGATAGATGGCCCCGCCGTCGGAGCCTATCGTAAACGAAACGAAGAAGAGCTCCATGTCCGGCCAATCCGGATCCCGGGCGAAGGACGTATTGACGAAGGCGATGCCCTCGAAACCGGCCGCAGCCGAGAACGGCCCTGGAACAACGCACGCATGCATGCATGCATTCCACCCATGCATGTGTGTATTGAGTCTTTTTATGCTCTTGCGAAATGCCTTCAGGAATTGATATTTTACAACATATTTTATATAATATAATAGGTATGTGTTTGGTACGCTGTAAAAAAAAGTTCGTTTTAAATCTGAATAAATGCGAATCATAGAAGCGTTCTGATATATCACAGCCTTCTCACTTTTGTGGCGAAGTGTTGCAAAATCCCTTCAAATCCCTTCAGCTTTCTTTTTTGCAATAATGAAAAATGCCGTTTTCGTCGCTATGCGATCAGCTTTTGAGGTTGCCATCCTTGGCATCATCGGCTTCTTTGAGGCCATTTACGATCTTACGAGCCGTGGATCAGGTGCATGGAATGCTTCGAAAGGGAAATGAATAATTGGCGGTGATAATGGCATAGTCACGGCATCGTCCACAGCTGCCATTAAGGGAAGGACAGAAACTGATATTAAATGACACCAACGCTAATAATTCATATTACAGGATCTCGAAACTGGTCCAGTAGCGCTTGCTCTAGGTCAGTCCATGTGCTTGGAATCTGAACATCTAGATTTTGGATATGGATGGGATATTAATAAACATTTCATTAAGCACTAGCAGGCTATCGGTGCTCATTATTGAGACAATGAAAAAAAGTGCGTTTTGGATGCTTTGGGCATGAAGTGTTTTCAGTTCCGGATCTTTACTTGATGCCATGTGAAGGCACTGTTTCATGGCCCTCATCTATGCCACCCGTTGAATCCGGGCAACAACAAAAAAAAACTTTTCCACATATTTTTGAACAATGAGAGTGTATCCAGTACAGGCACGATGAAGTGCAAGTCTTCCAACAGCGGAATCGGAATTTTCAAGGGAAACGACTCTTCATCCATGGCATCTCATATCAAAGACGTCATAAGAAGAAACCCCCTCATCTTTGACTCTACCCATCGGGAACAAACGACATTCTCGAATAGTGAGTTCATCATGATTGAGCTATCTATGTCGAAGCCGTGACATGCCCTTAAGCTGTCGTTCACAGCCAACAATCAGAATGGCAGACAATAATACCGTTGCCTCTCAAGACGTATTGGAGCGTGCTGGAAATGAGCCGAGTCGTGAATATTTCAGGTAGAAAGAAGCCAGACATCTCCTTGATGCTGAAGTAAAGCCCTGCAGGACCCGTATGGCTTTGCAGGTTCTCTCCGACCGGGAGATCCACCAGGGCACGAATCTAACCGGGATGAGACCGTAGATGGAAAATGTCTACAATGATGCGTCGATTTTTGATGAGGAGGATCAGGGAATTTCTTGTCGCCATCCCAATTTCCAAACGATTTTATGCCCTTAAAATAAGACATTTTAATTAAGAGCTTGTTTTCGTTGGAGAAAATACGAGGTGTTTCAAAAATTACTTCCCATTTCTTTCTTCCATATCTTAGGAGGTTTATGGATGCGATTGGATTTGTTGCTCCCAGGTTAAGATGCCTGTGTTAAGAGGTTTTCTCTGCCTAACAGCATAGATGAATATTACCAAACTGGCTGTCGTGAAATCTCGCTCGAAAGAGAGGAGAGGAGAAAATAATTTAGGAAGAAATGGCAAATTTATTTTGGAAACACCTTGTAAGAACTGTTTTGACGTTGTACAAAATTCCATATTACAGGCATGTGATACTTGAGAAAATAGTCAAAGCGGAAAGCGTTGAAATCAACCCTGATTGGAATATGAGGTATCAAATGAAAGCTTAAAGCGCTGAATTTCAGGCTCACATTGTGTTTTCTCAGTTCATTCTTGGGCCCGATGCCGGAGAGCATGAGGATCTGAGGAGAGGCAACAGCCCCGGCCGACAGGATCACCTCCCTCCTCGCCGATACGAAGCGCGTGGAACCGTCTGCCGTCACGTACTCGATTCCCTTCGCCGTCATAGTCCCTTCGTCCATCACGATCTGATGGGTAGAAAATACACATGAAATCTCACACAACTCAATCCGGGAAGCCTGGAATGAAGAAACGCGAAGATATTTCACAATCGTTAAAGCCATTGGGTGAACACGGGCCACTCTTCTTAAAGGCTGGAGGCTTAGATAGGGCCCGTGGCATTGCCTATCGCGAAGGAATTCTACAGGAAGATGGAAAAAAAAATTGAAAACGCCCAATCCAGAAGTGAGTTCCAAGTCCGGGTTTTAAAGTTGGCCGACTTTTCCTGACTAACGAATAGGGAGAGGATTTTTATGCAAATGCTAATTTTCATGGAGCTTCGTCGGAACATGCAACCCAGATACGAACATACACTATGAGGAAGCGAAATGAGAGATGCTAATTTAAAAAGTAAAAAAAGGCGATGGTGTTATAAAGCAAATATATCATTTTTCCTCAATATGCATATTACCCATTTTCTGAGAAAACAAATTCTCCTTATCGAAAACAATGAGTAATATCCAGGAGTCATTTTCTGAGAAAAATAGGTCAACGAGGCCCAACAAGCACCTGGTTTTCTGATATGTCCACTGTAATTCTCTCTTCCGAAGAATTTTCAGGGTCATGAAATACATGTCTAAATACTATTTTCAGGCTGTTTTAGTATTTTAAAGCCAATATTTCAGGACTTTTAGTCCATACAACTCCTGCTCCCTAACAATGATGACGCTGTTCCCGTTAGTCCTGGCAATTCGCGGAAATGATTTGCAGTGCCTCACATGCGGACAGAGAGAGAAAGTTTTCATTCCATATTGTCGCTTGGCTAGAACATATATTAGAGTTGATGCACGGTCATCTGTAATAGTACACAACACTCTGCACAGTCTTTTCTTTTTTAAGTTACTCTCAGGCAAGGACAGCTCTTATGAGACGACTGAAGACAGCCAGGCACATTCCATCATGGACGAAGCATGAAACTGCAACTATCCTCTGGTTGACAATGGAACCCATAAAAAACCAGAATGTTCCCAAACCGAAGTCATTCCCATTCCTCTGTGAAACCCACTCACTCTGGACACGACGGTATTGAGGACGACTTGGAGGTTCCTGCGATGTCTCACAGGCGTCAGATATGCTTGGGCCGAGCTGTACCGGATTCCCTGTGCTACCGTCGTTTGCAGTCGGCCGAAACCTGCCCAGCGATCGTATTTAGTAAGCAAACTTGTAACTATGAGTTAACACATAATTATGCGTTGCCTACCGTACTGAGAGGCTCCGTTGTGGTCATGGTTATGGGGGAAGCCCAGGCTCTGTCCGGCCTCGATGAATAGTGGCAGGAGCTCCGTAAAATACGGCTGGGATACGGGCAGATATCCCTTAGTACCATGATAGGGTGCATCCCCTACAATGAGCAAACATCGGTGCGGATTTTGAAAATTTGATCACCAAGTTGATGAGAAGAGCCATAAAAGGAACCCAATTTTATAAAAGGAACTCGTTCTCCGTGCTGTCTGGACCACTGAAATTCGCACTTCAGTGGCGCAATCAGCCAGGATTTCACAGGCCGAGTAAATAGATTATGCCATTCAATAGAAAATTGGGAGTTGATTCAACTCCAGAGCAGAAATTTCACATTGGCATTTCATTTTAACTTTGGTACAGCATGATAGATATCGCGTTTAATTTTTTAAAAATATTTTCTTGGATATGCGCAGCCGACGACGCGAACAAATAGCTCTGGTTCTGATAGCCAAGCAAATGATGACGCATTGCTCTAGCTACTCTTTTATTTTCGCAGGTTTTTAAGGACATTGAGGGCCACCGGACTCCTAATCTTTTGCACGCGGATATCTATACAACTGTGTTAGTCCATGCAGCCGGCAGGGATCTGATATCTTTGAATCCAAAGCACGCACGCTTCGAGAACATTCTCATTTCTTTCTGGTATCTCTCGGGCATGATGTACTTTTGACCGGGAAAAACAAGGAATATCAGCTGGAGTCGTATCGTTCGACAGAAGCTGCCGCTAGCATTTTCATCAGTGTCGGTATGTATTTTTAAAATATGTTTCATATACCTCGTATCATATTTTCATATTACCAGACTTCGATTTTCATTTTTGGCACACTTTCCGATCGCTGATACATTTTCTCGAAATATGCGCAACGAGTCCTTCCCTTATATAAGCCTTAGTTGGGCCATCACTGGCATACGGTTGGTTTAAGCCGGCTTATGGTCGGGCATGTCCTGTTGGCCCTTCATCGAGCCGACTTTGGCTCGTTGTTGGGAAACCGGACGTGCAGCAACCATAAGTCGACTTTCCGGTACGGTGAAATAGTTGTGATAGCATACGATAAAATGTATGTGATATGGGAAAGAAAAACCGCATCAATTGCATCGACAACATTTTGCATCATTCGACTCCCTGCTGCGCCTTCATCTGGGAGAAATGAAGGAGCAGTACCTTACGAGAGTACCTTGCACTGGTATGCTCTTATCGCCAAGAACTGAGGATATCCTAAGCAATATCCCTTCCGGATGCTAAGGTATCCAGTAGCCCATAGGAAAGCAAGGGTACCCGTCCTCCCGCAAAAAGCAACCCTTACAGAAACGTCTCATAGGAAACCTATAGAATTTCCTATAGGTTTTTGAGACATGATAAACCTATAGGATCCCTATAGGGTCATATAGAACTCCTGACCTATAGGATTCGGGGAGGATTTTTTGCTTTTCGAAACCATGGCATTACAACGGGAATGGCCACAGAGGGACAATATTGGCCCAGCTTTTTTCTGCAAATAAATTACCACTTAGGGGTTTTCCCATGGTAGGGGCACTTACATTACTAATACTAGTAATGCCTAGGTCTGTATAATTTATAGCCCAGGCCCACATGTGTCGCTGGATTGCACAGGATAGCACGTCCAATGCCTTCGGTAGAGAGAAGTACCATTCTTCTCTCGACCTAAGGAAACAGCAGACAGAAGCTACGAAGACACGTCTAATATACTGAAACTCCTTTCGGTTAAAATCTACTTCTTCTCGTACGTGGTTTTCAAAGGGAATATGGGCATATTTCTGGCCTGGACGCCATGATTCTATCTGGGAGATGGGAATGACAAAGAAGGAAGTGTCGAAGTTCATTGATTGCTATAATGAGGCAAGGCGAAGGAAGGGAATGTACTAGTACAAGACTCTCTTGTGAGAGATTATTCCATGGGTAGGGGGAGGGCACTTTTTGTACTTTGAGATATTCGAGAACCCAATCCTTCCATCTAGTGGCCTATAGGAGAACTTCAAACGAACCTTACAGGTCTTATAGGTTCTAAAGGGAGACCTAGAGGTCCTATGGGGAACCCTATAGGTTTTATAGGGAACCCTATAGGTCCCAAACAGAATCCTATAAGGCATTTTCGTAAGGGAAGACACGCCATTGATGTTATAAGCTTTTCAATGTCTTCAAGTAGAGGAAAAAGTGAACATAAATAAATCTGTAATTTTTTTTCTATCTACCTCGTATGTGAGAAACAATAGGGAACTGTGTCAAAGGGACCGAGTCTTATTTCAGTGGAATCCGGGAATATGCTCCATACTACGATAACTTAGCCCGGTTTTCTCACGCCGGTTTTCGGAACCTTCACAGTCACATTGGCTCATCTTCGACGAATGACTGACCGGGCAACTCACACTAGTGAGTTGGCAGGTCGCTCATTCGCCGAAAACTTACCTTTCTTTTGTTGTGAACCAACGTAAAATGTTTACTGGGTAAGTCAGCAGTCAACCTTCATCATCGAAGCGCATTGTGCAGTCTTACAGGGGGGCACTTCGTCGACGAGGAACCTCTCCGCCCTGATGAAAAGCGGGAGGATGTCGTCGAAGGACCAGCCGGGATTCCCCAGGGCGGCCCAGTTGTCGTAGTCCTTGCGGTTCCCTCGGGTGTATATGGCGCCGTTCAGGGCGGAACTTCCTCCCAGCATTCGACCTCTGAACCAACGGCATCGCTGGAAAGGCGAGGAAATCCTTGGATAATTTTCAATAAGGCTTTATTCTATCAACGTGTTTGAAACATTATTGCAATTGGGAAAACGGCAGGGAATGAGGTGGACACACGCTTCAAACCAGTAGATGAAAATGCCAAATTGTCGGAAGGGTAACTGCATATTTTATGTAAATTTTGAAGTATGCTCCAAATGGGTATACCCTTCCTGGAAAATCCTATAGGCTCCTATACGATTTTTTATTTTTAAAAATTTAAATCTTACAGGATTCCTATAGAAATCCTATGAGATTTTTAAGTTTTAAAATTTTCAGGATCCTCTACAGGGTGGCCAAAAAAGGCTACTCTCATCAGTGTGCATTTTTGGTGTAATGCTTTCAATGATTTTTTTTTTCTGGTTGCATGTAATGGAAAAAAGAAAAATTCATGTACAAAATGCTTTTTTTTCAGACAAGAAACATCTAGAAGGATTGAATGGGTTGAATTTCGGTTACCAGCAGGGTGAGAGGAAGGGAAACGCTGCCCTTCGCAGACGTCGCGAGGCCGATTGGATGCGCCTGCTGCCGTATGGTGAGCGCAATTTTTAGTAAACGATATTCAATAATTTTTTTTCTAGGTCATCCTTTAAGATATTTCAAGTCTGAGAAAAGCATTTTGTAGCTGAATCTTCCTTCTTCCCTTTACATTTAACCAAAACAAATATATCTTTGGAAGCATCTGTAGTGATCCAGGGACATGGGTATCCTCCATTCGCCGGTTGTACGAGGATGTTCCAAGAATAGAGATTCCTACTATTCGAATTCCCTCCCTCACGCCTTACCTAGGAAGGTCCGACCTTCCTCTATTTTTCTACGGGGCTGTCGGTAATATATATATATATATAAATAAATCCTTCCACGGCACCTGCCGGTATTGGAGATATGAGGGGGGATGAACCACATCCCAGACCTCATACTCGTCTTAATTCTGAAGGACACGGCGAAGGATGCTGGCCGTGCCCAAGATTGCTGTACGCTGGAGAATATCCAGTGATATTTCACACTCCAGCTTCTTGACATGTCCTTTGAGGTCTTTCAGGACGACGCCAGTTGTGCCTATGATGATCGGAACTATGGTGGTC